CGTTTAACGAGATATCTCATATTAAGTCAATATGTTAAGATTCGGATTTATTTGATAAAGCTTGAATAATATTTAAGATAAATAAAATGAAATTTATTTACATTTTGAATGTAAATGAAATAGATTTTCATAATATTTATATAAATAATTTTATTTATAATAAATATTTTATATTTTATTAAGAATTATAAGTTAAGCGCTATTTCTGTTGTGTGAAAAAAAAAGAAAAAAATTAAAAGTATTCAAATGCTAATATTTCTTATTATTTTTTTAATATATTCAAATATAATATTGACAATTAAAATGTATAGGTTGGTGAAATTACAAATATTTCACGTTACTTCAATTTATTAACAGTGTTTAAATTAAATTAAAAAATTAAAAAAATATTTTATCAATACTTAGCCCGCACCAAGTGATTTCATAGACATATTGTTTAATTCTCTAAGAAACAAATGTATTTTCCATTTGAGAAAAGGGAGAATTTTGGCAATATATATTTAATGTAATATATAATTAAATTAAAATTATTTCGGTTTTAATTCGAATTTAATTTTAATCAAGCCACATTTATTTAATAACGTACATAATATTATAGCCATTTGATGGTGGGTTTTCTCATTTATAGTTTAATTTAATAAATAAATTACTTAAAAAATTATATTCAATTTACATTATTTAATGTTTCGATAATATTGTTTTTTTTTTTATAATGATTCAATCGATTGGTGTCGAGTAGTTTGATAATCGTGAATGGCAAAAAGTAGATTTTTTTTTAATAAAATATGTTTTTTTTTTGTTCGTTAGAAATCTTTGAATCATTTAATTTTCGATTTTCATCTTTATCAGATATAAATATTCCTTGACTCTTTCAAATGGGTATATTTGGAAAAGATAATTTATCGCTTGCAAAGGTTTTCAGACTTTTTCAGAATAATTTCGCTTTCTCATGCTCTTGATTATTAAAACAAATAATATTATATCATAATCTTATTAGTGTTGTTATGTTTCGCTTTAACAGAGGATGTGGAATTAATATTAACAAAATTAATAAATCTTCAACAAGTCTAATACGTTAAAAATTTATGTAAAGTCGACTTAAGTTTTTATATTTTATACATAAATTGTAATAATAAATTAAATAATATGTATTAATTTTTATGTGAATTTTTTATATTAGATACGTCCAAATGCTCATATTTTTATATGAAACGCATTATAATGTATTAATAGCCACAATAATGATTTATTGTACATTCTGAGAAAATGATTTACTATTTATTTTGAATATTTTTTCATAAATAATGATTGAATAATTTTTTTTTTTTTTTTTTTTTTTTTTTTAAATAATTTTATTCAAAAACTTTTAGAATTATTAAAAGCAAGAATGAATTCTCGGTAGTGTAACTAGTAATATTACAATTTACTTTCTTTGCCATCGACAAAATAACATCATGATATTACGCATTAAAGTCCTTATAATAATTTTAATAATTTTAAGTTTAATGTATAATGTTTATAATTTATCATAATTGCATCATCATAATATATCGATATTATTAGACAAGCGTTTAATTAAATTTGTTTGTTTTTACATTTACATGCAACAATTCGATTATAATCGATTTCTCGAGATTATATTGGAGTTTCATTCGCTCCTATAAACAGTTTTCTCTACCTGACATTCTCAAAGGTATTTATTTGATATTAATTTGCAAGAATTTATAAGCATTGAAATAAATAATCATCTTAATAATTAATAAAAATTTATAGTAATCAATTGTTTTCAATTCTAATTTTAAAATTTATTAAGAAAGTAATTTATAAATCATATTCTCGATTTTGTACTCTAACATCACAACAAATCAGCTCTAACATAAATAATAATAATAATAATAATAATAATAATAATAATAATAATTTATAATTTAATAGTTTACAATTCTGTATTTTTATAAATTATTATTACGTTCTGCTAGTTTAATTTAATGAATAAATAGAAATAGTTCTTAATGATATTATTAATATACCATTTTTACTATATATAATATACAATATGAAAGCAAAAAGAATAATATAGCGGTATTTATTAAAGATTAACTATAAATGAATGAAAGTAAATGTTTTATCGATCTTGAGTTAGGCGGAGTGAAGAAGAAGAAGAAGAAGAAAAAAAAAATAAATGTGATTCAATGAACAATGAATGTTTAATAATTCAATATATTTATTATTATTATTATTAGGATGCAAGTAATTGGTATGAAATATGTAAAGTAATGGACGACAAATGAGAAAAGACTCAGAGTGACTTAAATTTGCAAAATATTCTTAATATCGGCATACACCACAAATACATATAGAAATTATAAATAATTCAATGATTAATATAACATATACGTTTTTACTATTTTAATAATTTTATTTGAACAAATACGCGAATACAGTTAATCCCTCTATACTCTCGTGGTCTCGAATATTAAGAAGCTCATATGGCTATCGCGATTCTTCTACTTTTTCACTGCACGTAATCAATAGCATAATTGTAAATAAAGTTTGAGGATTGCCAGGAAGTAAAGAGATTTAGTAATCATAGGTTATAGTTATTCCTATTAGTTATTTATATTAAATGGTATTTATTATTGATCGGCTAATTTAACTTGAATGCCAGTATTTTTCAAACGATAGGCTTTTGTGAAAAGCGTCCAGCAAGTTTGTGATAAGTTCGAGGAATACTATCATATTTATATTTATATTGTTTTCAAAGATCGTGTATAGTTATTTTTTTTTTTTTTTTTTTTATTCAATTGCGAGGAGGTGTAGAGAAAGGCGCGAGAGGATACGCGAAGAAAACAATTATTTATCAATAGACTTCTATCATTTACATTACTTTTAATAAATGTATTGTAACTTTTAATACTTTTTAATAGAGGATTATTTGAATAGATATCAAAATACCATTATTTTTCAATACCGAAATGAAAATTCGACATCAATGTAAATTATTGAAATCTTTTCAATGTCAATTTAATAAATAAGTAATAAATGAATGAAACATAGCATATGTTTAATTAATTAAAAAAAAAAAAAATTTTTCTTAACCTTTAGATAGTTTGATTCTATAACTTAATATATCAAATAGAATGCGTACTGAGTTTTTCATATGTGAAGGCTACACTGTGGCAATCATAACTTAGTGGAAAGAGCTACACGTTGGTTTATACTCAATTTTAGGATAATCAAAGAACTTTAATTATTAATTTTAATTAAAATTTATTTTTTAATCCAATAAATATTAAAATTGTTGTCATATTTGCGATGACATTAAATAACGTTGTAATAAATTATTTTCTTTATTTTGTATTTTTTGTTGAACTTAATAAAATTATAACTTAAAAAAAGTGATGGGAGAATTTATAATTGAATTTGAATGATACGATTAAAACGAATTAAAAGACAATATTATAATGATTAAAAACTTTATTTTAAGTTATAAAAAAAAAAATAGGATTATTTTTATGTTTTTGGCTAATTTTTATAAAAATAAATATTACACAAATTAAGTGAACAATCGTATATTCTTACACGGTCTAACGTGGGCTAAAAATACAAAACATGACTTCTTTGGCATTAAAATTTCATTATAATAATTCTTATAATATAATAGAATCTTGTAATATATAAAAAATTAAATGAAATTAAAGGAAAAATCTTAATATTTGTGATATTTTATTTTACGATTTCCTTTCAATCGATTGATTTTGCAACTACGAAAAATAATATACATTTAATACTAATTAGTGCTGCAATAAAAATACAATTATTGTTTCAACGTTTAGATAGATAGAATTTTTTATTCGTACGTTGTAAATAAAAAAAAAAAAAAAAATTTTGCTAATTTTTAAGATAAACTTAATAAGTAGAAATAGTAATTTTTTCTAGCGTACTAGATATCGAAACTTTTAGAGATAAAATGATTAAGGTCTTGTTCCTTCATTTCCACGTTATTATCTACTAAATTATCTACTGTTAATAAACTTTTCATGACGTAAGTAAAATTAAGAAGAATTATATTTCTTGCAATTTTTAATCACCTTCTTGAAAGACTTTATGATAATTAAGACTCGTGAAGTTAAATTCATATTAAAAAATATGCGTCATTACAAAGAAAAAAAAAAACATTTCGTTACGTATATATACGAGTAAAAGGAATGAAATTATTGGAATGAGAAAAAAAAAAAAAAAACATTAAACGTAATATGAAAATCGTCCAATTGTACCATTAAAATTGCCCAAACAAATAATTTATGCATAAATCATTTCGCTCGATTAAAATATTTTCATTAGTTCTTCATGAATAAAATGGCATGGCAATAAACTTTTGTCATTAATGTGAGAAATGAGAAATTTACGAATAAATTTTGTTGCTTACTCAAAGATAAATGTTTTTGGAGAAGAGCTAACATTTCATTTTCCCATTAAAACGATAATATTTTTTGAAATAAAACACGATATTCTATATATAAAAGCAACATGAGTTATATCGACAGTGCGCAACGCTAATAAATGTTTCAAGTATATTCCAAGCTTATCTTTAAGGATTAATGACTCAATTTTCTTAACAATTGTACTTTCCTAATATCCTATATCGTCGGCGACGTATAGAACTATGAGAGAGATCGTATGAGAACTAAATCGATGAATTTCATTGCAAAACTTAATCTTAAATTTTCTTAAAAAGCCAAGCTAAAGATATTTTTTGCAAGCAGCGCAGTAAATTTTGTAATAGGTAAATGTGAAAATGAAAAAAGGTAAGTGGTGAGTTGGTATGTAATTGGTAACGTATGCTCTGCTGTTCGTTGAATCGGCACAATCGATGAATTGGCACAGTCGTGCAAAGTTGTAGGGTCCGAGAAACTTTATTAGTACTTAATCCGAGCTTTGGCCCTGGCGCTCCACGACCTCCAAAACATACTGAAAAATTCGGACGACCGAGACTGCGGCAGCCCACTACTGCCAAACGCTATCCCTTTGTAATTCGCAATTAGCATTGGCGAATTACTCGCGAGTCCAGTCACTCGCGCGCTATCGCCGAGAATAACATGGCGTCAAGCACCGCCGCTGTCACGGCACAAGTGCTCAAGGTCACCGAGGACTTCGCCGTGAATTTCCATAAGGTAAGAGCATGGGATATCCTTCGGTCGTGCCCAACTGCCCTACTCCACGGCGCCGCGTATGAGCAATTCGATTTGCCGTTTTGCAGAATCTAGCCGAGAAGATCGAGGGAAACTTTGTAAGCTCGGCACTGAGCGCTTACGTAGTACTGTCGATGGCCGCTTACGGCGCTGGTGGCGTCACAGCCGAGGAGATGCGATCTGTCCTGCGATTGCCCGTGAACGAGGAGGAGAGTTATCGAGCATTCCGTGAAGTGGTCCGCGAGCTCGACGTGAGTCATTGATGGAAATCGAGGATAATTATATGCGAGGCATGGGATCTCGATGGCTTTGCGCCGCTCCAGTTTGCCTATTTGCAATTTGTTGCTCAGACGTGGCTAGGGCGGGGGGGGGGGCGACGACGACGACGACGACGACGACGACGACTTTGATTACGATCATTGCGAGATTTTTCATCAAATTTATAAAGCAATTATCAAGGCTATTTATCAAATATTGATAGAAGTCGATTGCTTTAATCTTTGATCTCTCTTTTGCAGTTGATTGATGCCGAATTTCTTCTCGAACTACTGAGCGCTAAGAGCGCAACACCAATCAAAGTTCTTTTATCGCGTGTTTAAGGCCGTTCTCGCGCAGCCTCCTCGCCATACGAATCGCACATCCATCAAATTCTCTTCAAGCATTCGAATGGATCACGCTTTTTACTTAATAGCAGATAATGCAAAGAATGCGAAGTTGAAAAAAGTCATTGTGGATCTTGGTGTCACGGATATTCTCTCGTTCGCTTTTTAAGAATCTGATACTTTAATTTTTACTTTTCATCATGGATTAGATTAATATTTCAGTTTCCTTATATATCATTCAATTCAACATATGACTCCCGACCACAACGATCCTCAACGACATTATCTCTCTACATAGCTCTACATTGCAATAAGGAAACTCATTATATAAATACTTAAAGTGCTAAGATTATTTTATTGCAATTAGAGATTTATGTAACTTATTTATTATATAACTTATATTTGTTATCGCAATTGGATACACTCATAGGTGATTAACGAATAATTCATTACTCGAATCGCCATCACTGGCTTCTGTAACGCAGATTTATTAAATTATATAACTTTATTTATTTATTATTTAATTTTTTTTTCATCTTCCATTCATTCTTAATTCTTTCTTCGTTTCTTTTTTAAAATCTTTTATAAAATTGCACTACTCTAATTTTAATATAACGTTCGACATTATTTCACACGATATACAACATTATTCGAAAAGCTGATTAACATTATTTGAATAAACTAAATCATGTAAACATCGATATCTCATACTCTGTAAATTATGATGAAATTACTTTCGATGTGTGTTTTATTCGAATCGGAGCAGCCTCGTGTATATTTATAACCACGACTGGACCGTTGATGAATGCATGTACGTAGACTTACACACATGTATAGTTTTGCAATCAGTTGGGCAATGTTTACTCGCCATATAAGACATTCAATCAGATCATTTAATATATAAGTAAAAATTCATGATATATTATCATTTTAATCACGCGCTTATGATTGTCATTAATCTATTAATTTTACATAATAAACGAAACTCAATGCAACAATGCATAATCAGTCGTGTACATTTTTTCTTTCTTCGGCAATAGTACAAACGTTTCTTTCAAATTAGCTAAATATGTAATAATTGTGTTGAAAACAAAACTTTAGCTATTTTTTTTTTTTTTTTTTTTTTTTTTTTTTTTTTTTTTTTTTTTTTAACAAAGTGCGTTTAATATTTCCTCCATAAGATTAAACGTTTTATTATGCAAATGATTTTTTTGAGAAAAAGAATACTAAAAATTCATCATGAGATCGATACTTTTCAATGTATGAGTCTATGTATAGGTAAGGCAATTAGTACGATTAAGAAAAGAAAGTTCATTAGTGGGGAACTATTGTTTTATAATTTCGGATATTTCGTTTATTAATTGAATATAAAGTGGATAAAAGTTTTTATTTTTTTGAAACCTGAATAATGATATTTGAAATTAAGGAATATTTAATCGCCATGAATTGAATACAGTGTAAGTAAACACATATTGATATAAAAAATGTCGTGTTTTGAATAATGCAATTTGTTTAAATATTAAATAAATGACAATTATGAAGATATATTTGTAATAAAATAGATAATGTAAAGTCATCAAAGTGGTGTAATATATTTTCTTTATTTCCGAGGAACGCGTTAATTCGCGATGGAAAACAAAAAAGAGTATAAACATTAATTATAAACGAAACAGGTATAAAATAACTTTGTTTTATGTATATATCATTTTATAAGGTCACTCAATCTCTATTTTTTGTTTTATGTCGTCGTACGGAAACTATACCTGCCTCTCTTATTACCTCTGTATTATTCTCGGTTTTCTCACTCCTATCAAAATCCACCAGTATTTTGAATATTTTTCAGTTAACCGATTTATGTTAGAAAAAAAAACAAAAAAAAAAAAAAACAAAAAAAAAAAACTTATTCAGAGAAATTGTCAACCTAGGCATTCTCTTCGAAAGTCTTCGAAAATTAGTCGAGATGCTTTTTGCTTTTTGTATTTATACGCTGATTGTACGCGATTTGTTTTAAAGATTATCATTACATTCATCCAAATTCACGGCATTAATTATCGGCAAATTAACATTTTTTTTTTTTTTATTTTAATAATATAACAATCATCAAGAGCTTTACCATTTATTTGATTATTCAATTATTTATGAGAAGAGTTCTTCGTTATTTTAAATGTTTTGCAGCATTGATTTATTAGATAAGAAAATCTACGATTCTTATCAATACAATTATAGACGATATTTTACATAGTTGTAAAGAATAATGTTACTAATAAAAGTGACAAACTGTCTGTAATTTAGAATGTTCCAAACGTCACCCTTAAGGTAGCAAATAAAATATTTGGTTCTAATCGTTTGAAAATGAAGGAGAAATTCAAAAGTATAACCAGCAGGCATTTTCATTCACAAAGCGAAGAGTTAGATTTCTCGAAAGCAGACTCTGCTAACGTTATAAACCAATGGTGTTCTGATAAAACCAATGGAAAGGTCGACAAGATTATCGAATCCGGTACGTTCCAAATACATTCGCACGGTGCATTAGTCATTATTACGAAACATTTTCCTACCTTAATAATAATAATAACAATAATAATAATAATCATAATAATAAATCATAATTATTATTATTTTTTTTGTTCTTTTATTAGATCAGCTGACTGTAGATACAACGATGATACTTTTAAATGCCGTATATTTCAAGGGGAGTTGGAAAAACAAATTCAAAGAAAAAAATACAAAATTATTATCTTTTCATATTAATGAAACAGCAACTGTAGATGTTCCTACGATGAGTATTGTAAATGATTTTTTCTACAAAGATTTGAAAGATATCGATGCTGAGTCTATCGCTCTTCCATATGCAGTACATATATTTATTAATACTTTCACTTTATACAGGAAACTCGATTGGAGTTAGCAATACTTAACTATATCTGGCAATATTGTAATACATTAAATATTGATGATATTTCACTTTGAATTTTAGAATGAAGAGGTATTCATGATAATCGTAGTTCCACGAAAGGTCGATGGCCTAAAGCATGTAGAAAAAAATCTCGAAAAAATTTCTTTTGACTATGAAACAGATTTTGAACGTTACAAGTCCGAAGTCTTTATTACTTTACCTAAATTTAATGTGAAAAGTGAAATTGATATGATTCCGTCTCTTAAGGAAGTAAGAAGCTACTGATTTTTTTCTTATCTTTTTTTTTTTTTTTTTTTTTTTTTAAATTTTTTTTTTTTCATCTCTTAATGTAGTTTTATTAACGATTTGGGATAATTTTGTTAATCGTGAATATTTATAGATGGGGATGATTAATATGTTCAGCAATCAGGCGAATTTTAGTAAAATTTTTAACGCTTCTGCTAAAGTTTCCAATGTACAGCAAAAAGCTTTAATCGAGGTTAATGAAGAAGGTAGTGAAGCAGCTGCAATTGCGGGTGAGTTTACAATTAATTTCTTAATAATATTTATTTGTCATAAAGTGAAAAAATTTAAACTTTACTCATTAACATAGTTAGCTATGTATTTGGGTAAAAAAAAAAAAAAAAAAAAAAAAAAAAAAAAAAAAACATTAATCATGCGAGTAAATTGATTGCAGATAAAATTTATACTAAAAAAAAAAGATTTTTGTTCAATATAATAATTTATTTTAATTGTATTTATTTCAGTAACAATGTAATTTAGTTTAATTCTTTTAGTTTGATTTGATTTGATTTGATCTGCAATCGATTTACTCGCATAATTTTTTCCGACTATTAAGCTAATTACATTAATAATCTAATTTTTGAAAATACTAAGTAATTGCACATCCAGTCATTATTATTATTATTATTATTATTATTATTATTATTATTATTATCATTTTTCATTTATAACGCGGTGTCAAATGTATTTAAAGAATTATAATGTGTTTTTTAAAACTTTTTTTTTATGTAAAATGAGTTATGCTATTTTCTTAATACGGTTTTTCTAATTATTTTTATTAGACCGTTAAGTTTGTTACGACGCAGTGATGTAGCGAATAATAGGTTGTAAGAAGTTTACTCTAATGTATATAAATTTGCGATCTTTTTGAAATATTTAGTTAAATTTAAGGCAATTATGCTATAAAATGATAAATATTTTATTTCTTTTTCTTAAATTTTGTATCGGCATTGAGTCACACATACACAGACACAGATTAACGTTTATTTATGTGTCAATAGTTATCGGGTGCTTTGATGTTAAAAGTGAAATATAAAATGAAATAATTTTACGTTAATTATGTTTAATATTATTTTTTTGAAAAATTATCTTTGAAAGTAGAGAGTCAATTTTCCAGTCGTGAGGTATTGGATCGATGGATAATTTCGTTCGGTTTCTTCGATTATTCGTTAACATGTCATTTCAATTAATGCTTGAGGAAAAGATGATAAAATATTTATGAGAATTTTAAAAATTAAAGCCGTTTTACATAGAAGATAGCAAGTAAAGTGCAAGATGTTTGGGTGTAGAAGGAGAAGAGATAATTTACAAAGCTAACAGTGAGAAATTGAGCAACAATGCGGATAGAAAGCTGTTTGTTTATTAAAGTCCGAGTAAAAGTTTCAAAACAAACAAACAAAAAGAAAACAAAAATCAACTCCGCTTCATGTTGGACAATAACTACAAGCAGCTGATTAGTGGGCAAAATTGACAAGGAAAAAGGAATGTAAAATGAATGTAAAATTGCTCGTAATATGTCGTGCATTGTTAAAATGGGCAATGCGAGAGGGCCATTTCTCTCTCTCTCTCTCTCTCTCTCTCTCTCTCTGTGTGTGCGTGCGTGGTGCAACCAGAATTCCCGAAGTGAAAACTGGCGTGAGCTTTGACAAAGTTAGTTGGCCCTGGACGAGGATGTAGGGTATATCTTGGTTTAGAGCGGCATCGTCGGCAGCTGTCCCGACAAAATGTACTTATTGTTTATAATTGTCGGTGGCACCGAGATCGGCAACGTTTTCACACGCCAGTTTTGCCTGGGTATTAGGTTGCATTACGCAGTACGATTGTTTCGTTGGAAGTTTTCTTAATAGTTGCGACCAGGAGGCACATCATAATGTCGCTTTGGATTAACAACGAACATTATAAATAAGATTGATCGTGTAATTTGATAAAGCTTAATCTGGAATTTTAGTAAATTATTGAGAAACGATGCAAGAAGTTTACGATTAATGTATAATTTTTAATTGCGTTGTACTAATCGCAGGTAATAATTTTCCAAAATAATTTCCTTCTTTAGCTGCCGAGTTGTTGGAGCGTAGAACGACGACGATTAGCGTTTGATTAGATTTTCATTTAATGCAGTTTTATTATTTGCCGACACTTTATAAATGTACGACTTAGTGACGAGGTGAATATTCTGTAAATTGTCACTTCCTCGAGTCGCGCAAGACTATAAATAAAATAAGCAATGGAATAAAAGAATTTAGAAAATAAAGCGATTTAGAAGCACTACGAATTGCCAGTATAAATTACGGATTATTCCTTGTTTGTATGGTTGGATGCTTCTGGCATTATTTTTATCATGAAATGGGAATTTGGGCATATATTTTCATTTAGAATATCGATAGTGACTAGCCAAATAAGATTTGCCATTGGGATTAAATAATTAAAGGACTAGAGTAATAGCTAATAAGTAGAGAGCAGCTTTATAAAGGTGACGAAAATAAGACAGTTTTACTTAATATTTGATAGGAGCGCTTGCATTGGCAAATTTTCTTTCGAGAGACCTTTTCTATTTACATAAATTATACCGACAGTCAATGGAAAAAGGAATTTCTTTCTCGATGTAGTTGTTATTATCACATGTGGTAATCGTTTGAAATATAAAACATATAACAGAAGCAATAAATTGCTTGAACTATTTGTAAAATCTGTTTCTTTTTTCATTAAATCGAGCATTTAGTCAGTTAGAATCAATCATCATTTGGTAAATTATATTCCTTATAATTGTAACAATTGACGTGCAATTATTTACAAAAAAATATATTTAATATATTTCACTCTTGTCAGCATCGTCATAATATAATTTTTTATTTTATTTTAGATGTCGTTGCAACGCTACACTCTTACGTCCCTCCAATTATGCTGCACGTAGATAATCCATTTTTTTACAAGATAATGTGGAAGAGAAATACCATTTTTTCTGGTCGAATCGTCAATCCATTGGATACTTAATACAATTTTTTAACTTAAAATATTTTCTTCGTTCACACCGAGTGATATAAATCATCGATATTTATTTAAATATTTATGCTTATATGTCACTTAAAATGTGATAAGTGTTGCACAATTCTTGAAATTTACAAGTAAAATATTTACAATAATTATAATAAATATGCATTACAAATTAATGTTGTGTATGTATTTTCAAATAAAGAAATAACGTATATGAAACGAGTAGAAAAATTTTTTTCAAATTTCCCTTCCCTAAAATCCTAAAAACTCCTTATTACAAGCATTACAAGTCATTTTATTTACAAAATTTATCGATAAACGTCCTACAACGCTCGAGGTAAATAAACGGCGAATTTCAATTAACAGTTGATTATTGTTTATGTACCGATGCCAACTACTGTAATTTATATCATTGGATAAATTTTCGCCTAAGATACGGAGACGAATTTTCTGTTCATGGATATTTTCTTCCCAGAATGAGAATCGAAACAAATTAAATAGATAAGCAAACTATAGATAAAAATTTAAATTAAATCTCTAATAAGATTTAAAAAATATAGTAGTTTAAAGAAAATATTGAGCGTAATCTTAAAGTATCGAAAATTCGAATCAACTACACGTTCAATATGTTCGCTTTCTTTCATTTTTCGCCTTCGTGGACTTTTCCTCTATTTCATTCTATTCCCATTCTCCATTCTATTTTCTTTCCTCTTGATTTTGAGCAACTCCCCCCTCCCGCCTCCCGCCTCCTCCTCCCTCCCTCCCTCTCTCTCTCACTCTCTCTCTCTCTCTCTCTTTCGACCCTTTTATCGACAATTTCCATTGGCGAGCCTTCCCTTTAAAAGCTCTATTAAATCTCTCTTATCAGGATTCTTACGAACTTCCTAAGAAAATATCGGCTCTTTCACGTTTACCTCACCCCATCAGTAGCGTCGATATCTCCATCTTCAGTTCACCCCAAGAATGCCCGATACACCATAACTGCAGCTAAACGATCAAACGAAGTAACTAAAATATATTTTTATCCTTTCAAATATCCTTTAAAAGGACTGATGTGTCTGTAATTGTCGGATGTACCATAACTCCCTCGATTCTAATGATGAATTTTGTGAGTTACTAACATTACTCGGCTATTAACAAATTATTTAATTACCTCGACAACTTACTGAACATCTTTACAAAAATCATGATTATTAGAAAATAGTGTTTCCTAGCTCTTCGTCTAATGTATTTTAATAAAATGTACTCTATTATTACAGGCAATTTACATGAAATAATATTAAAAGTCTAAACAATGTATTTATAAATTAACAACTAAATTTTAACATAAAAAATAAATAACATAAAAAATAAGTAAGTACAAGTTATTTTTTCAATTGTCCTTTCTTTCTGCAAATCCATCGCCATTTGCAGGTGTTTCAATTATTAATTCTTTTTTCTTTTTAAATACAAGCAGTGCGAGACGATTAACCGCGCGTATGAGAAAAGTAAATTGTGCGCCTTAATTGTATTACACATAATCCGTGTATTAAACATAAATATACAGTATTATGTTATTAAATAATTAATAATATTATTTCATATGGATCATTACATTACTCTCATTATATTACACATATACCAAAAATCATAAGAAAATAGGGGAAAAAAGAGTACGTGTGTGCGTGTGTTGTGCACAATCGTTGAATTATTTTCTATGATTTTTTTTGTATTTTTGAATTTTATATGATTATTATGTGCCGTTCGTATATCACCGATCTATGCTTCTTTAACGAATTAAACGAATTTAACGAATATGTCGAACTTTATAGTTTACGAGGAAAGCGACTGTTTGATTAAACTATCCACTTTGTTTCTTAAGAGCTGGCAATTATTAATTGGAATTATCGAGAGTTTAAGCTTATATTTAAGAGAATTATAGTAGCTTTGTAGCCAACACTAAATATTTTTCTTATCTTGAGTCGTTAGACTGTAGCTAATAAATGAAAGTAAGAAAAGTAATCGATTATGATTTAATCCTATATTTAGTGAAACGATTTAGAAAGAATGATTAAAATTATTGTAATAAAAAATACAAAATTACATATAGTGATTAACACGCGCGCGCGCGCGCACACACACACACACACGCACGCACACACGCGCGCGCGTACGTTTCTATATGAAAATAATTTATTATACGTATATACATTAATTATTATCAATAAATATTAGCGATCGTCAAACATTTAAAATAAAAAAAATTAAAAAAAACAAAAAACAAAAGACAATAAAAAAAAAAAAAACAAAATCGTTGTCAGAAATGTTATTTTAATTTTAATTCGGCTATAAATTTTTGTGAATTATACAAATTTCCAATCTTAAATTATAATGGATAATGGTGAAAGTAATATGTTCATTAAATTTCTCAAAAACCGTAATGCAATTATTCAAGTATTTGTAATATTTTAAATCATAACCTTAATTAATTAATAATGCAAAGTTCTTAATTTTTAGTATCTTATTCCAACGTCACTTACAGAGAAACGAATAATTCAGACGATTGTTGTAACAAAGACTCTTATGTAGTATCATTGTATAAAAATTTAAAAACTAATACACAAATACAAAATAAGAATGACTATTCAAGCAAATCGGTTTCACGTAAAAAGAAATGTGATCCTGCAAAAAAGAAAAGAATAAAAGAAGAGGAATTTCCAATAAACATTCTACCACCAAAATACAGTCCGTCAAAATGTTGTATCCGAATGCAGGTTATCAATGTTTATATACGAAAGTTCACGTACATTTCTTGAAAAGAAAAATGGCCCCAAAATTTTCGTTTATTTATAATTTTGTTCTGTAAAAGCATAATCTAGCGATATTTTAATTTTCATAAATCAATATATTATTACAGTACATTCTTCAAACTAATTAATATATATTTATTAAAAACGTACAAATTTTGAAAATCTTAAAAAAAAAACAAGTTATATGTTATGTTTATTGTTATGTTTATAATTTTATGTTAAATGTCTTGTTGTTGATTGTAAATATTAAAATGCCGAATTTCAGTATTAATTTTTAAGTATATGTAACGACAATTATTAAATGATTATCTCAATATAATATGCAACGAACAAATGTGCTTTAACAGAACGTAATATATATATATATATATATATATATATATATATATATATATATATATATTAGAATTGAAAATAAATGAGATATATGTTATGAAAAATTTCCAATTGGTTATTTATTTATTTATTTATTTATTTATTTTTTTTTTCCATTTACTTGTCGTGTAAGGTTACGCTGACTTTGTTTCGTTTTGACACTTTATTAATTAAAACTAGAATCCTTTGGCTCCGTGTTGCTGTTTTCGTGTAAATCCTGACGAGCATAAAAAGGATGAACCTTCATGTCCATCCGATCATCAGGAAAGAAGATCGCCCACGTGTGGTTGCAGTGAATGTCAGAAAAAAATGTGAATGTTGTACAAACGTTTGCTTCGAAAGTTAATTTTGTCTTAGAAGGGAGGGGATTCTGTGGCGTCTAACGACTATTTATTGATGGCATTTTTAAATTCTGCTAATGCATTGAATTGATTATTAATTAAAATGACAATTAGTTACATTAATTCATGATATTCAATAGTACGACTATCTCGATTGCCTTCGCTTCTAATACGTAATCATGTTTGGTTAAATAAATTTTAACATTTTTTAATCATTCAAATTTTCCGTTCAATTTAGCATGGCAATTGGCAGACCACAATAATCGCTGGAATACAACTTTCGTCGACAATGGAAAATCTATTTAATCCAATGATTCATTTGACATTACCAATTTATGTATTTTATTCAGTTTCAATGATTTTCAATTCTAAATTCCAAATCCTAATTAAGAAAAATGACATGATACTCAATTATATATATTTATATATATTAATATTTTTTAATACTTGAAAATACTTGATATTTCTTAGGATTACAAGTATGGCTTAATGCTCGATATATTTTTAATTTGATTTACGCAATAGGACATAATTTGGTAAATTATCAATTGATAATTAACGTATACTCAATATGTTGGTAGATTGTTTGTCATGAAACAATTATAAGAAAATTGTGTAAAAGAAGATATTCTAATAGAAATGACCTAGATAATATTCCAAATGTGAAAATAATGTTGAAAATTTTGATTGAAAGAAATCATTGGTGTGCAACGAGTTAAAGCACACTTTAAAAATCATGTACATTGGAAGGATAATATAAAGTAAAAATAGTTCGAACAAAAAAAAAAAAAAAAAAAAAAAAAAAAAAATTATAAATTGTCTATTATTGAAATAATATCATTATAATAATTAATATTAAATGAAGAAATATTAATAAACATTCAGTAGGCGTATAATGAATGATTAAAAATTTAACATAAAAAAAATTAATTTATTTTTTCGCTTAAAAGTACTTGATTATTCGTGCTGATTACTCATAATGGAAAGATTCAGTAATTTTCAATGTAAATTAATTAAATATTATTATTTATGCTTGTTTTTTAAATTATTAATATAATTATTTCTATAACTACTTATAATGAAGGTATTGGCACTCTCGGTGAATTTGGCTTATGAATTGATAATAATAATTAATTGATTAATTATTCATTTATTTCTAAAGGAAAATATCAATATAACAATCCATTTTTTTTTTCTCATTTTTTTTTCTCTCTCTTTTTTTTTTTTTATATCAAACTTCGGAGTTGCATATTTGTCAATTTTATCAGATTCATTAATTTGACTAGAAAAATGGTTATCTCTGTTTCGTGTTGCTTTTGTTATATTTAGATTAATGAAATTATGTACTTTACATAAATTCTGTACAAATATCTATTAACGTTAGCTAATTAATATTGATATGATAATCTTTTGTGATATTGGTTGAGATCTGCAATATAATATTTAAATTTTGATATATTTTTTTTTCGCTTTTGATTTCCTATATTGATACGAGCTTAATAGTTAAAGTAAAAATGCAATATAAACATTACATTACCTTTATTAAATTAGAAATACTGAAGCATTTCGATAAATTATCGGAAGTAGGTGTAACCGGATAGTTATTCATTTGTTTAATGGGCATTTCAAAATGGTTATTAGTATTTTGTTCACTTAATAATGAATCTGAAATATCTGTAAATATTGAAAAAAAAACAAAAAAAAAAAAAAAAAAAAAAAAAAAACCAACAACAACAACGGAGAATTCTTTCATTAATAATAATACTATTGTGTAATAAAAGTGGCAATAATGATTTAATCGATTAATCGTAAAAAGTAAAATTAAATTGCTTTACGTGTTAATAATTCAGTTAACAAATTGAGTCTTTATGAAAATAGACTATTTTATAATCTTTACAGGATTAAGTGTCAACGATAGAGCGTTGTATGATTCAATTAAATGTGCGTGGAAATTAATTGATGGAATGAGACGTTGCTTGTGTCGCTGATTATATAAATTTAAATCGAAATATAATAACTCACTCGAATTTATGAAATTTGTTTCCGGATTCATAACTATTTTATGCATGTTTTTATGATAGTTAGGATTATATTCTGGAATTGATTCGTTGTGATCGAGAGTTCCGTGAAAATCCTCAATCCAATTATCTATTTAATAAACACGATGCTATTAAATACTCACGCGCATCACGCTTTATTTATCGAACAAATTAATTGTTTCACCGTAATTTAAAGTTGCCAAACCAAGTGCATCGTCATCTATATGTTGAGTAATATGTTGAGAATTTCGAGTTACGTTTAATAATTGAGATTTAAACGTGGATTGTTTTTTTAAAGCGTCGAAAGTCGTGTTATAAGCATCGTAACGTTTATCAATCGAAGCTGTTGACGTTGGCTGCTTATTACTTTGATAATTAACGCAATTAATTAATATTAATCGTAATAACATTTATTTACATCGTGAGACATCATTTTATCATACCTAAACATGCACGTTTCTTCGTTATCAGTTTCCACAAATGTCAATAATCGTTCGAATTTATCCGATTTTCTAAAAAAGTATGGCAGTTCCCACGGTTCCGTTTCAACAATAATAGGATTGTTTGCGTGATTTCGCTTTACTCTATTTATATCTAAAAAAGAAAGAGTTTTTTTTTTTATCGTCAAATTTGGCACTTAACATTTGATTTTATGCGTAACGCAAGACTTTGCATTAGAGAAAAGAGTGAAATTTTTTTTTGCTTTCAATTTCATATCTGTAGCGTTAAATTTATTTGTTATCGACTTTCAAGTTTTTTTTTCTTTTATATTTTTCTTTTCGCCAATAGTCCATAGATACATTGTGAATATATAAAAATAAAAAAAAAAAAAAAAAAAAAAAAAAAAAAAGAAGAAGAAGAAGAAGAAGAAGACGAAGAAGAAAAAAAAGAAAGCAATTGTTTTTTATAAAATTCTAAACGATTTAAGCGATTTAGAAATAATAATTATTATAATCAATGTTAATGTAAATATTATAAGAGCACAATAATCCAATAATGTCTATAAATTATTTTATATAATTGATATAGTATCTCTTTCATTTTCTTTAAACATTTTTCTTCATCTGAACGACAAGGTTCTCAAATAGGTCGGTACTCAAATATAACTAGTCGCTTACTCTTTGCAGCTTCCAATTGCAATTGTTCCGAAATTGTATTATTTCGTTCTCTTTTTCCTTTTAATGTGCCATAATCGCCTGTATAAACATTTTACAATTACATTAATACGAGATATTGTTGTCGTAAGACAGTGTTAAATAATAAATGTCTTAACATAATGGATATTATACTTAGTAGAAGTGAGTAATTCTGATTCAATTTGAGCGGTAAAAATTGAAATGGATACGATTCACTGACTTGCCCATCGGATATTCGTCGCAGCTGTATTTTAACGTTTACCGGCACACTGATATCTTGCAAAAAGTATCTCGGTGACTTGAATACAATTGCAACCTAGAAATATTGTTTCTAGATTACAGACAGATTTAACCTTAATAGTTTTAATATTATAAATGAGAATTCTCAAATCAATCCTCCAACGATTGACCTTGCCTGTTTGAATATCCCAGGTGGCGTGAATTCTGCCAATGACTGCCAATTATTGTCATCATGGAAGAATCTCACTTGTATGTTCTCTCGCGTAACCTTATCACATAATATACACATTTGGGTGCCACCAGCAACCGATGCTGATTCATGACTTATAAAATTAATTATGGGCTTCATTCTCCTCTCTACAAGATTCGATTAGAAATTGTTTAGTCGATTGTATTATAAGGTAAGATTAGTCTTATTTACTTTTGTCATAAATTGGATTGGAGACGACGGGCTTTAAGGCTAAGTTAAAATTGCCTTTTTCATTGCCTTCTAGATAAACTTGGAAGCAGAGCCTGAGACTAGACAAGTCGATGCTTTCTGAATTTGACATGTGACTGAATCCAGCTGTAAACCACGTTCGTTCGTTCATTCAATAATTAATGCTTCGATCGTCCGATTATTATCTCTTACTTACTTACTTACTTACTATTAAATGGATCAATTTTTAAGCTTCTTCGAACGGTCAGTGACTTTTGAATATCCTTTCGTTTGACACATTGTATTCCAAGATTGTTAAATGTTATTGTCATTTCTTCAGAAATTGTTTTAAATGAGTAAATACCGTTTGTAATCTCATCAGCCTTTCCAATAATATTGTATGGATGGGGCCAATACGGTAAATCTTTTGATACGCAAGAAATAACTATGAGTGCTGGACCTTTATAATTTACTATCTATAAATTATTAAAAATCATTGTTAATTGTTAATTGAGAGCTGTCTAGACTTTGTTAATATGACAAAAATATGTATGATATCCAATAGCATTCGTTACTTCGTTCTTCCATTAATGTTAATCATAGTATTGTAGAGGTAATAGCGAAAGAATTTGTTTGAGTGCGATAAGATTTTCTAAAATTACAATCAACTCACTTCGATAGTAGGAAAGGATTTATTGAACGATGTGGTCTTTTCTCCAAAAATAGTACCAGCAAATCTTCCTTCGCATTCATATCGAAATCTCGTTCCTTTACTCGCCGGTTGTTCAACAATGTTTACGTACGGAGCAAATTTATTACAATTTCGAATTACGTGCATGTTTCTTTATCACTTTACGATTTATTATGAAAATATAAAGCTATCCTTGTAAAATAAAAACATAAAAACATCAAATATAATAAGTAAAATTTAATTTTTCGAATTTTAGTTAGTTAAAATATTAAGTAATTATAACAATATTGAGTAGAGGATAACAGCTCGGTTAATGTTCACTTTAACATTCATTCTATAATGAATTTATTATAGATCTTGAGAAAGTAATTACAGTTAGGCAGTTACATTATAAATTCTGAGAATAATTTCTAACATAAATATGACTTGTTTGAATTATGATTATTGTATTATTGTATTATTAAGGCCATGTGTTTCGAAATTTTTGAAAAACTTGATTTATTATGTTTTTTCCCTTTTTCCTCATTATTATTATTATTACTACATTAATTCATCGTCGGATTTTACATAAAATTTCTTTTATCATTTTACACTCAATATAAATTACTTAATAATGGTTATTTATTTTTATCATGTCCGCTCATTCAATGCAGTAGATTTTAATTTAATTTACAAGCACAGCTTGTACTAATTTATTGCCAAAACTTAATAATAAATTACAAAACAAAAAATGAAGTATTCGTCAAAATATATTAAAAATATCATTATATATAATTATTGTTTTAAGCACAATTGTTATAAGCAGATATTTAAGGAATTTTTTTTTTTTTTTAATCGACTAGTGTAAATTTACCTTTTTTTTTTTTTTTTTTTTTTTTTAAAAATTTTTGATAATAAACGAACATAAATTGAGTTTATCATCGACAATTGATAATCTAATGTTGACGAACATCTTTAACAATAGTTTCGTATTAATTGTCGTTTCATATATATTTTCTCGTATATTGGCAAAGTGTAAATAAATCGTTTAGCATTATTAAAGAAATTGTACGAAAAGAATATCTCATTATACTGTCATAATAAATATTCATCGTATAATAAATTATTGGCTATATATATTATATTATAAAATTCATGCTACATCAATTATTTTTTATTAATAAAATTGCTTTTCATGCATATAATCATTTTATACCAGATATTTATAATATATACATATATATTAACTTTTCAATTAACAGTTACATTAAAATCGCTCACACACTCACACACCCATACACGCACGCAACCACACACCCATATATCTATATATATATATATAATAACATTTCAATAAAATAAAATAAAGTACAATAGAATTCATTAAATTCGTTTGTTGGATAATAAATATTATGCGTCGTATAATCACTCGATTTGTAGTTAAATATATATTTCACATTAATATATAGAGAGGAGGCCGTTTGTTTATATAATTTTTTGTCAACATTTATGGCAAATCATTTAATAAATTTATAAAGTCTTGAATGCTATCATCCGTAAGCGCATTGCTTTCCGTTGGAGCAGGATCATCTTTATTGTAACAGAAATCTTCCGGATTATTTAACATTTTCTAGAAGAAATTGAGAACACGTGTATTCATCTCATTGTTACGATAATATATTATTATAAGATAATAATATTAAATCTTTATAAAACAGCAAACCCTTAATTACCTCAGGAATATTAAAATTAATAAAGTCTGCGGCATCTGATTCTTCAAGTAAGTTCCGGTTGTTAAAATTATCGGTATGCTGCTTAGTCGTGAAGGGCAGATTGTTATTTACTGCGTCATCATCATCGTTATGTAATCAGTGCAAATGTATATTAGAATAATATTAGAAATATTTTAAAAAATTGGCGAAAATATAATTTCAATTATTAATTATTATTGTTTCTCAACATAATCGTCCTCATCATTATTTGATTTGATATTATAATGCATCGAAGTGTTCGATTGATCGAGTAAATGTAAATGTCATATAATTAAGCTTGTGTAAGAGAGAATATAATTTTTTGATATAATTAATTAATACTATTATATTATGAAAAACATATAATTAACGTCCATCGATACAGGTGTAAGAATTACATTAAATACATAGGAATCATTTTCAAATATCAAATCAAATTATTTTTCAAAAGACTAAAAAACCTAAAACGCAGCTTATATCCTTCATATAGTTTGCAAATAATAATTAATGTGCTTATTATTATCCGTAATCGGCGAAGCAATTTATATTACTCGACAGTGAATATTAAATTGAAAAATAAGTAAAAATTCATTCAAATTTAACATTATTATTTTATCTATTTATTCTGCAAAAAGTCATCAACTGATGTTTGTATATATATATATATATATATATATATATATATATATATATATATATATATCTCACAAAATATATAAATAAAAAAAAAAA